ATGTGGGTGTGGGGTTCACCTGTTTGCTTACCCTTAGGTTAGGAAGAACCTACCCAATTTTTAATCCTGAACATCTGATTACTTCTGACAGCAATATACCTCAAGAAATGTAAGACACCACTAACCTGTATACTGTAAAAAATGCATATCAAACTTTGCTTCATAACATGATATCAAATTTTAAGCCTAATGACAGATAACTTATATAGAATTAATTTTCCTTTTTTCAGTTCTTCAATATCAAAAGGATAAAAAACTATTTTCACCCAAATGAATGAAGATTTTCCTACTGACTACAACAGTCACATGCTACTCCTCACTTGCTTCTGTATGACCCAGAAATGATGCCCTTGTGCAACACTTTTATTCATACTGGAAGGACTGTCTGTGTCCTTACTCTGTCCAGGCAGAAAAAGAAAACTCACAGCAGAACTCAGCTGACACATCCTGATGTACACGTACAAAGTAAGCCTGACTGGCTCTAAGATAGCTTATGTTGATGAAACTGTGCTGTGTTCTCTCAGTAGTCCTTTACTTGGGGAGCAGAATGGGAGAATTCAAATTAAAACAAAAGGACACTGCACAGTGAAAATAACTTAAAATAACTGAGGTCATAAGCTAGGGTTCCACTTCTGCCCATACACAGTAAAAGTGCCTGCTGCTCCTGCAGTGCTGCACATGAGGTTTACAGGCAAGGATTCAAAGCTGGGGTTCCACTCCTGCCCATGCACAGTAAAAGTGCCCGCTGCTGCTGCTGCGGTGCTGCACACAACGTTTACAGGCAAGGATTCATAGTTAGGGTTCCACCCCTGCCCGTACACAGTAATAGTGCCTGCTGCTGCTCCAATGCTGCACACGAGGTTTACAGGCAAGGATTCAAAGCTGGGGTTCCACCCCTGCCCGTACACAGTAATAGTGCCTGCTGCTGCTCCAATGCTGCACACGAGGTTTACAGGCAAGGATTCAAAGCTGGGGTTCCACTCCTGCCCGTACACAGTAATAGTGCCTGCTGCTGCTGCTCCAATGCTGCACACGAGGTTTACAGGCGAGGATGCAAAGCTGGGGTTCCACTCCTGCCCGTACACCGTAATAGTGCCTGCTGCTGCCGCTGCTGCGATGCTGCTCACGAGGTTTACAGGCGATGGATGGGTAATTCCGAGCTCCCTCCCTGGACCGAGGTCCCCTGGCCCCGGCCCGCGCTGCGCCAGCGCCACCTGGCGGGCGCGGGCGGCACTGCGCGCCCAGCACAGCGCCCCCTGCGGTCGCTCCGCGCGCCCCTGCACGAACAGCGACCGCGGCCCCCACAGAAGGCAGAGGTGTCCCCATCACTCGGTACACATAATTCAGCCTTGATATTGCACAATAGAATTGCAATTCTACTGTTAAGCCTCTCTTCTATTACATCTCTGGAAAATCCAGAATTACAAGAATCTGGGCAAAGATGGAAGGTTGCACACTGAAGTAATATCTAAAAAACCACTGAAGTTACAGCTTCCCTTACTGCAAACTGCAGGAACCTGTTTCCTACAGGAAAACCTGGAATTTAACCTGGTCAAAATAACGTGTGTAGGCTCTTTAATATTTGTCAAGGAGAAAATAAAAAAGTGATTTCCTAGCATTCCATTTAAAAGATTGCCCTTAAAAATAACCCCACACAACACTGCTCAGCAAATTGCTTCATTAACAATTCAAAAGAGCACAACAACTTATTCTCCAGCATAAGCTCTGTCTGACTTCAGTGTAACAGAATCCCAGATCTCACACTAAGGCTTCATTCTACTGGTAGAATGAAGTAAATAAATGTAGTAAAAGAAATAAATCTTATTTAATCCTACTGAAGGGTAATGTTCGGAAGTTTTTAGAAAGTAATTCTAGTTGCATTTATCTATACCCTAAATTATAAGATGTTTTAATGTTAAGAATCTGTCACTGCAGTATTAATTATTTTCACTGTCATGCAGGACATTGACTGTTAGTGTCTCTATCCCAGCTTTGGTATAATTTTGTAGGTATTTCAACAGAACCCAATGTATTTCCCCGTCATGCCCCAATACCAAGGCAGAAGTTGAGATGATTAAGGCCAAAATTGTCACCAGTGACCAATCCAACAAACCTAACTTTTCCATGATGTAACTGGCTCCTACACCTCTTTGCTTCAATATAACTTCTGACAAATTTGTCACCAGAAGTGAACACAATGAAGCTAAAAAAAAGAAATGCCAGGTCATAGATACAACACCTAGGAACAAGGCACATGTAACAGCCACCTGTGGAAGACTGGTTAGTATGAGCAGCAAATGCCATAAGGGTGAGTTGGAAAACAGAAGACAATAAGTTTTTTAGAAGGACTGCAGGCAGAAACACATTCATCACACCCATACTCTTTAAATGTGGAAATTGTGTAGGCAATTGAGGTTATAAGCCAAGCTAACACTTAGTGTCTTTCAGCAGAGATCATTATCTGAGAGGTGTGCCAGCCAGAAGCCATCTATTTGTGCTTAGCAGAATGCATAAACAGGGAGAACCTGGGCAAACATCTCCCCAGCTGCTATTTGGCTTCATGTCACAGTTTCTTCTCCAAGCAACAGAGGAGAAAATGAAGACTACTGAAAACAAAGTCCAGTAAGCAACTGTGGAAAATTGCCAGACTTACTATGTCAAGATACAGAGATGCTGTGAGTTTGTGGAGAATTCATGAGGCTGTTTGAGCAAAAATGAGAGCTGAGCCACCTCCTTATCTTGCACTGGGCTGGAGCAAGGCTTAACAGCTGAATGATGCCTGGGGTGAGGCAGAGGTCTCACAGCCCATCGGTGTCTCAGTGAAGAACAGGAGTGCACCCAGACCTCGGTATCAGCCTCACTCCACCTTAGCCATGCACAACCAGCCTCTGCTACAAATCTGCTCCTTTGGGAAGATGATGTGAGGTGGTAACATGCTGACAGGAGTAATGTCAGGTGGTCTTCCTGCTCCCTCACCTGGGTGGAGGATGATACTGAATTATTAGGGATCTGTGGTGCCAACAACCAATTCAGCCAAAGGTATCCAAAGATAATTAATACATTGAAAAACTCACCCAGCAATATGAAAATGAGAAAGAAGCTGCTTCTCCACCAACTAGGATCACAGTAACTGGTAAGCAATTATATTTGACTATAGTCATACCTCCACTTTTCCAGAAAGTCTAAAACTGCTATTTGAAATCCTCCATTTTTAGAATATGAGAACACGACCTTACTTCATAGACAATGGTCTTGCTTCTCTCCCCTCCCCAAAGCAGGGATGACTCTCTGGTAAGATTTGTGCCTCTGGCTGCATCCACAGTATAGCTGGGAACAGTTATACAACATTTTGGAGATCTACTACATTTATCACCAGCAATCTAACAAGAGTCAATGATCTGCTGCTTCAATAAGCAACATTATTTGTGAATCTGGAATTGTGAAAGTTCTAACCAGCCACAGTGCCTAACTGGTTATAATCAGAAATTAAGCCAAGCTGCACTCAGCCCCTCTGATCTCTGAGGAATAGCTGGAACAAAAGTTTATTTTCTACTGAATTTCATATGCTTATTGCAACACAACTGACTGGTAAAATTACATATAAATTCCTTGTTAACAAGTGAAGACCAAAATTGCTGCATCCTCACTGACAAATAGAGGCTTCAGTTAGGAATGTTCAACAGGAAACAACCTTTCCCAGACAGCTGGGTTACACTACTGGACTCAGAAAAATGCCTTCAAATAATCTCAGCTGACTTTTTTACTGTGGTTTGCAGACCTGCTTGTTTGCTACTCATCAGTAGGTGCTAATTCAACTTCTAAAAATGAAGAAATAAAGAAAGTCAGTGAATAAGGGGCTGGGATTTTCTGAGAGTCACAGCATAGATGCCTACAAATGGTAGTGAAGCTGACCAAAGACTAGTGAGACACCAGGAGAGGGGGTAAATAAAAAGAAAGACATCTGTCAACCTTATGAACTCTGCATGTGACCTGTGTCTGAAAGAGTTATCATGAGTAGACAGAGCAGGGAGGGACAGAATTGAATCCTGATCCAACAGGACATTAGGAGGGAAGCATGACAGATTCGCACATAACCTTTAAAATTTAAGAGTGATAAACTGAAAATCTCTTAATTTTGCATAATTGCTGTCCAACCCCATGAGTTTTCAGAATGTCCTTTTCTTCCTCATGAACTAAAGACACCGGTTTTTTTTTCACATTATACAGTCTTCACCAATTGGATACACATTCTTATAGGAATATATCTTTTTCAATCATCAATGTTATAATTGCAATCACTTCCTTTTATGTTTTGTGTTCTCAGTGCTCCTCAAACTTCTGTAGAATTGCACTACTTTTCTTCAATCCCTTCCACAGATTTCTCTATGAGATTCTGTGAAATGTCTACCTCTCCAGCAAAGCATGAGTCACAGCCTTGATCACACCAGCACTTACACTGAACACTAATAATCTTCATTGCACTCCTTGCTGCTGTAAGTGCACTGGTTTTGTCTTATTTGTGCTCATTCATTTGTTGCCTCTTAGGAAAGGGAAAAGAGAAAGTCTCCATCCTTTTGGGCTAAGAGAGAAGATCCTGTCACAATTGTCTTGTAGTCTACAGCAGAAACCTCTTTCTTCTATTTCCACACAGTGTAGGAAATTATGCCTAATGTTTTCTGCTTTTTTTAAGACCCTTCACTTTTACCAAGAAAAATTTCATTACTCCAACTACTTCTGCCTCTTCTATAATTTTTAATATATTTTATTTTTATGTCTTGATCTTCTTTGTTGGTAAACCAACTTGATAAAACCTTTGCCTTCTCCAATGCTCCTTAAACATTAGCTATATTTACAGATAAAGGATAAATGCAAAACACTGTACTTCCAAAGCTCATAGGAAAAAAAATAAAAAGTAAGTGAACCAAACCACAAAGACTTCTAAAACTAGAACAACATAAATATGAAATAAAGCACAAATGCCAACATTAGATGGAACTCACCCTGCCTGTGGGTTCACCATTCCCGGTGAGTTTTTATGACCTGGTGATAATGTGTGAATTTTGCTCCCACTGGATCCAGATGAAGACAGTGCTTTACTTGAAGAGACACCTTGCAGTTGAAAAGCAAGCATAAAAATATAAGAAAATGTAAGATTTTGCTGCTGCAATGATACCATTTATTGAAAAAACATTTTAATTGCAAAATTCATAACAAGAGTTTTAGAAATACAGAGATGTGAGTCAGTATCAAGATAATACAAAAAGAAAATGTTTCAAGAAATTTATAGAAAATAGGTAATTGAGATATAGTATTTTATTCTAAGAAAAGATACTGTATCTCAATTACTTTGCTCAGGAAAAAAAAGTCTATGTACGAACAGCACATGTTTGATATCTGATATCTGAAACCCAAATTAGACTGCTGTTTGCATAACTCTAATATACATGCCTTGACTATGTATTTTCACCAATTTATGATCATATTCAGCAGACAAATTAGTTACAGAATTAAGCATAAGATAGATCAGTTTTCGATACAATCATGCATTACTACCCCAAATGATTTTTCATATTCAATTCAGAAAAAAAAAAAGACCCAGTATATAAACCAGAATCCTAAGTGCTCAAGAGTCTTTTTAGATAAATGGCAATCAATGCCCCTTCCAAATTTATTTTAAATGAGATTTTACAGACCACTATATCAAATAAACAATCAATTTTTACTGCATAGTTTGAGAATTATTATTTAGAAAGGACATGGAACAATTAATAACATCCATTTCATACCTACAACAGTTTTGCTAACACCACTTGGCTGTGGTAAGCGTGATGATGGTGATGGTGTTGATCCTACGGAAGGCATCTTCTTAACTGGAGCAGGTTTGTACTGTAACAAAATACAACCTAGAAATTTAAGCAATTAAATCAAGCTATCTATATAACACAACAGGTAGTTCTTTCAGGTACTGTGGGAGAACAGAGGATGATTTCCTACTAGGTAACCTGTTTCTGGTATGGGAACATGCAAATGGTTTCTGATAGTCTGTTTTCTAATACTTACAGATGATACTAGCAGGAAACATTCCCTAACTTAGTGGCTTTGTTAAGATTAAAAGCATAGTCTCATTATCAATTAATTTAAAAGCAAATACTCAAAGGTAGAATTATTTTTGTCTTTCAAATCCAAATCTTACTTTCACCTGTGTGGTCTGGACCAGTCCCTGCACTAATTCAAAATACTGTGTAGTACACCTGAATCCCTCTAAGGCCTCTAATTAGCCACTCTACTGCTGGTCAGTTATCCTCTAGTCAGGTAACTTTGTTTGCCCCTTAAGCAAGTCTACAACTGAATTTAGAAACTAGCACAACAGAAATTCAACTTCCTTTACAAAAACTGCATCTCTCTTTCTTCCTGCTATCTTTACTTGTCATTTGCACATTTCTCAATTACATTTATGACTGGTTTTCGTTTTGTAACTGCTGCCATCTGACTTGTGGATCTCTGCAGTTTAAGAAAGCAAAAGCCTCATCCATGCTTAGTGTCTAATTTCAGTGAGTGCAAATAATAAAATTACAGAATAAAATAGTTCATTCTTTTTAAAAGTAACACACTACTTAACAAGCTTGGTTTGACAATGAATGCAAGTTACAAGTTAAGAAAAGTGTTATAGCCCACCTGAGTTCGAGTAGGAAGCTTTCCTTTGGTATCAGCTGCCAATTTTCCCTTATTAGTGATACGTGCAGCTTGCTCCTTACAGAAATTGATGTGCCTGTCAGCTGCATTTTCATTAAATCTCCTCTGGCAGTATGGACACTGAATGTAATCTTAAAAACACAGAAATATAACATTAATAATCTGTTTTAAAAATGACAGTGTTTTAAAGTCTTTTAAAGGCCAGCCTCCCCTCCAGGGGAAATGATGGCTTTTTGAATCTGAAAATGAAATACAGATTGCTAGGTAAAATCATATTCTCTTTTGATGGATAAGAGTAGCTGAGGATTAGAAATAACCTAAGCAAAATCAGAAACACTTTAAGTGATGCTATTCTGCAGAGAAGGTAGCCAAAGAGGTAAAGGGACATGGCACAGAGATCAGCTGGAAGGAAGTAGAGAAGAAGCTAAACAAACAAACAATCAAAAAAAATCACGAACAGTTCAGTTTGTTCAAGATATGGGAATACATTAAAACCTTTCCCACACAAGCAGCAAAAGACAACAAATCTGTTTCCTCTGACAAATTTGAAAGAACTGAGAAATACTAACTGCAATATCGCAAGTGATCATTACTAAAAAAATCAGAAATTTAACAAATAAAAAGAATCAATAGAAAATCAGCCAAAATAAGGATCTATCTCTAGAGACATGCAAAAGAAAGTAACTAGTGACCATGTTACTTCTGCCAGATTAATTTTATCACATTGCCAACACTATTACATACATGAATATTACTCTTATTGGGGAAAAAACAGAAAGGGCTAAAATGCTTAAAATATTAAAAGATACATCATCTGTATGCTGGAAATACACACCTTAAAATACAGTGCCCTTGGAAAAGTATATGTTCGGACTACAGTTTCAGACAACTGATACTGCCAAAGCAGGCTGAATTAGTGTTTCTAGGTCATTTTAGAAATGTATTGAAGAAAATGAGATGAAATTCAACAGTCACTGCCTCCAAAATTACAATTAGATATAATAAAATCTAAAATAAGTTTTGGATTACATGTTACTAGTCCAAATGCAGTAGATCAGGCTTAAATACTTGTCCCTTTAAATATTTATAAACAGTTTTGAGTAAGTTAAATGATGTAATGACCACCAAACCATGAACTGTGACCCAAGAAGCGTGACCTAAGGACAGAGGAAGAACACAGAGAAGTGACATGGGAAGAAGCATGGGAATCTCATGGGGTAACAACAACAATTATTTATGTATTCATTTATTTTACATATGCTCTGCTACTGTCAGAACACTTGAGCAACAACTACACCTTAAGAGACAAAAAATCAGAAACAGAACTGTAATAGCTATGTAGTCAAACCAAAATTATTCAAAAGGAACTAAAAGAAAAAGAAAAAAAAAATTAAGCAGCTGTGAAAGCCCCTAGACAATATCCTATATCTGACTAGTGCAGAGCTCAGGTCCCACAGAAAACTTTCAAAGCCCACAAATGTATCAGACTAGAAAGGATGAATGTATACTTTTAGGAATCGGGAATTGTATCTTCATCCTTTTGTAAAACACTTGGCTCTCTGAAAGTACTGCTCATACTGTCCAGAAGAACCTCTAGGATTCCATGTAAGCTTTATAAAACAAAAATTAATCAAAATAAGAGAGCAGTACACATACACATCAAGCTCAGGGTGACTTAAGGTCCTTCTTAACCTGAGGCCATTCTGCGCTTTCTCAGAAAAAGTGGAAGAGGAGATGAAAGAAGCAGCAATACTTGCCAGCTCAGAGCAGTTAAGTAGAAAGTATGAATATGAGACTCTTTCCATTAAAATGAAAAAGACTTGCTGCTTGTTAGAAACAAGCGTGCCCAAGACAGAGCTGAGTAGGAGAGGAGGGATACACATGGAATGTTCACAATCTTCCCACTCTCCTACATGACGAGTAGAAAAGGAGCATCAGTAGCTGCTCCTGCTCTATTTGTAAGAAGAATATGCACTGATCATTTTGTGCATGGTCTCTTCATTCCTGGTTTCCTCTTCTTAAATCTAACCCACTGCAGGATTGAAGGATTGAAGCAAGGAGACTAACAAATACAACTACACAGATTATAGGTATGCTATACAGATTATTAATGATTCTTTCCATGATCAAGCCTGCGATTCTTATCCATAGCATTTGCAATTGGCTTTAAGATGGCCTTACTTTTTAAAAATTAGCTATATGGCTTTTCAGGATTGTGAGTACACAATGCTGAATAATACATTCTCTTAGAATGAATCCATCATTACAATGCTGGACTAACACATCTTCTGCAAAGAAACAGGGTAGGGAACACTTCACATCCACAGAGACAGGCAGAAGCAAACGTTTTTTTCCAATCCTTTTGAAAATAGCCATTCAGCTAATCAAATGGTTTAGCTCTTAGGACAAGAGGAAGAAATATATTCTTCAGCCTATTATCATATCCCAGAAGTTAAATTAAAGGTGTATTTCCTTCTCATTCACATCAAACTGCTTGAACACTTTACCCAGTCTCAGTTCAAAGATACCCAAGGACTGTTCCTGCCCTTGCTAACTCCACACATCTCACACACCAAAAACACGTGAGGCATTAAGGAATACACTGGATACATTAAACTAAATGTGAATTTAGCAAGAAATGGCAGAGATTACATTTGAAAAACACAAAAGTGCATTCCCACAATGTAAATATGTTGTGGGTGTCAGCTAATCAAAAAGGCAATCTGCTACTGCTGTGAGCACAAACAAGGTATTAAACAATTTGTCCAGCCTATGGTGTACAAGACAGTAGCAAGCTGCAAATTGGCCCCAGCTATCTTTCCACACATTAAAAACAAAGTCATGTGCTTTGAAATCTACACAGGATATGAGCCAGCCAGACCTAAAGTCACAATCCAGCATCTGCACAGGGATAGTAAGTAATCTTCAAGAACTTGTGAATGTTGCATTCCAACAAATTTCTTTTCAATTCAAACTTCTTCACATTAACTTAAAAATCTCTAAGGAACTTGACTGTTTTACATACCAGGGTCATATGATGGTGGAGGTGGTGGAGGGAGTTTTCCACCGTCTTTGAGATTAAGTCCTTTGGCTGCTCGTATAGTTGCTATAAATTCCTCATGCTTTCGTCTCCAGTTAGAAGGTTTTTTTGGTGGTTCTGGCTAAGAGGCAAAAAAGAAAGCTTTCTATATTTGAAGTTTTTACTTGAAGCTAATGTATGTTGATGTATAATGATGTTATGTACTTATTTTAGTACATAACATCATAGTTAAGATTTCTTCCAAATCTTAGTTGACCTAATTAACACGAACTGCCAGAAGAAATAAGTCTTATTAAAATGCATACATAGTATGCCTAAAATCCTCATATTCAGAGTAAATTGTAACATACCCGTGGCTTAAGAGGTTTTACTGTGGGAATGTCAGTTCCTTCTGCTCTCTGTCGGCTGGAATCGAATGTCTTCCTTTTCTTGGAAGAAGTTTTTTGGCAAATGGGTCCATGCTTTTTCTGTAAGCAGAAGCGAAATAAAAGGAGAATACAGAAATTAGTTTTGAAAACAGACCTAATTAACACATTATTTCCCTCTTTCTTGATAAAAAAATGCAAAAAAACCCCAACTCTTGATGAATAAGCTCAGACTGTTTTCCCTCAAGCATTTATGCCAGCCACTACCTTTAAAACAGAACTACAGGAATTCACAGATGTATATAAAGAGTCACAAAACCACACGTGATAATGAAGAAAAGTTGAAGGCATCTACATTTGCTCCTTGCACATAGAAAACTGATGATAGGTAGGCAGCTTTTGGTGGCCATTTGAGTGGCAAAACAAATCACAGGTGTCTGAAATTCATATTCACATTTAAGGACAGACCGATTTCTATTAGCAATGGAGATGACAATCCTGGAAATGGCAAACAAAACACTTCATTTACTAGCTGAGACTTAAAACTGCAGAAGACAAGGATTGATTCTGTATCCCTAGAAAAGATGCTTTTAGAGGCATGTATTTCAGAAAATGATGGGATCTTAAAAGAAAATTAAACCTCTTCTAAGGAGCTTCAAACCTGAGACAAATGGAATCAGTAATTACTTGTGGGGGGGAAACCAAAACCCCTACCAAAACAAAGCACCTAGATCTGTTTTATTTAGCTATAGTAAGCCCTGCTTAACTTTCATATCAACTTATCAAATCTAAAAGACAACAGGGCTCACACCACTTACCAGCGCTGCTGGAAAGAAAGTTCTTCCACAAATCTTACATGGCAACAGATCTCCAGTTTGCACTGTAACCTCACCTTAAAAAAAACATACATCTTTAAGAAAATTTGATTAATGACAAAACATTATTTCAAAAAATGCTAACCTCATACACACTTAGCCATAATAACATTTGTTACTGTACAAGTATACATCCTTTGACTTGTGCAGAGGCTAGGCACATGAGAAAGGTAAAAATATACCAAAGTCTTTAGGTACTTTTGGAAGCTGTCAGGCCAAGCAACACATCACCAGCAATTCTGTTTATTTATAATACATAACTCCACTCCCTTAAAAGGATGCATATCAATATGGAAATAAAAAAATCCCTTGTAAGTCCCAATGACAGCTCAAATACACACCAAGAATAAAGCTGTTTAGTGGGTATTTCTGTGTCTTTGGAAAAGATCAAATTTAGGATCAAATATAAAAAGGACACATTCCATTATTTCTTTTGCTCTACTAAGATAAACTCTTCCACTTTCTCTTGTAAAGAAAACAGTCTTGATGCTATTTTTACTGTATATTTTTATTATTACTGATGGTTTACAGAAGTATTTCTGATGTTGCTATTCAAGCATTGGTAACAAAAATGTAAATAGCATATTTGACATACAGCAGATCCACAGAACCAGACAAAAGACCAACAAGTCTAAGTATCAAGACCCATGCAAGCAAATCTATTTATATAGTATGGATTATGCATCAGAGTCATGGCAGAGGTGAAAAACTGCAGGGTTTCCCAATAAAAGGCATCTATTATATCTAGTAGTATACCAGAGGAATACAGGGATATTTTTATATCATGTATATATCAAGAAAGAAGCTGTAAATTTGGATTATGTTTGAGATGCACTAGTAGCTTTCTCTGTACTCAATTTGACTATTGCAGACAATACAACTGCCTCTATTTACACCACATTAAAATAAAACCACTTTGAATTGACTTGTATTTTAGGCGAAGCAGCATCTTAAACTAACGAAATTATTAACATAGCAATGTTCAATCATTTGAAAAGTTTTTGTTCCCAGCTTCCCAGTGGAAAACTGTTTTCCATCTAAACATACACACTTGCTAACTAAGTGTATGACCAGTCCTAAAAAATGAATCATTTAATTAAATACTTCACAGCAAAAAAACATAGGCAGTCATGGTTCCCACTGAAAACCTTTTTTGCCCAAATACAAAAATTAGAACTGAGTGAGATCTGTATTACCAGTAAGCAGTTATTGTCTATTTTTGATTTTTTAAATTACTTAAAGCAAGTTCACCCCCAGTAACTAACTGCATGCAATGTTGCATGAACATGTGCAGTTTATAACATTTAGTCCATACCTTTAATTAATTTATATACCTTTTCCATGTAGATATGAATACACCTGTCCTTACCATAGCACAGGAGGACTGCACTGACAGTAACCAAGTTTTACAAATGGAAGGCCTAATCAAGTTTTCTTTTGTGCCATCTAAATATCTATGCATTTAGACGTACACAAGTACGAGAAGAAGGAAAAATGCAAAACATGCAGATGAATCTTGTTTTTTTTCTATTCTTGCATTTGAAGTGTACTTGAATGTGATAAGGATTTACTAGGAACTTGTTTTTTAACTGTATTTTTTCAAACTCTTTTTTAAGAAATCATGTCTGAAATTTTTTCCATAGGTCTGTTTTCTTAAATCCACAAGAGCTCATCAACACTGGTACAAAGCTTATATGGCTGGGAACCTGCCCTCACCACTGATCTGAATGAAGGATAAGCAGCAATGATTTTAACCTTTTCTCAATTAGTCCACTCAAAAATACAAAATATGCACAGATTTGTTTATTTTATTACTTCATTCTTCAGAGTCCCTAGCCCTCTTAATAATGATAACCTACATCACTGCAAACTCACTTTTGCTAAAGAGTTCAACTTCTTTTTATGACATCATTCTGATACAACCCTCAGCTTTGCAGAAACAAGTGGGAGAGGCATTTTCCAAAAAATATGAAGTGACACTGTTTGTGTCTTCAATAAATTAGCTGAAATAAATCAGAATTAGTGGTCTTGACACAAGGCATACAGTATGTGATTAAGAATTTGGCTGAGAATTCTTTCAAATATCTGCCTTAGTAAAAGAAGCTTCATATCGCACAGTTTTCTTCTGTGTTCTAGAATTTGAGCTGGTGTTTAAATTCCTCACGAAAAGAAGCAGCCTTGAGAGCTGCTGACCTGAATGAGCAGTATTTACATAGGACATACCAAAGCACAAGGAATGCCAATTACCACTTAGTGCAGCTGCAGTCACAGACCTGGATTTCCTCACAGCATTCCCACCTTCCCCTGGTGCTGGCAGGTAATCACATCTGCCTAGAGCTATTTCTACTGCCAACACCTCCCGTGTAACACAAATCACTGACCCAAAGCACATAAGGAAGTTATTTTTAAGAAATGAAAGTTCCTGAAGTTTTGTTGAAAATGGGAAGCCAAGTGTCCTTTATGAAGGGGCACACTCACCCCTTCAGCTTAACTCCTCTGTGATTTTCCTCACTTTCAAAGCAAAAACACCCCAAAACCAAACAAATCAAAACCACAAAACCTTAACATTTCTTTCTAGGAGCCCATGAGCCTTCCTTTACAGAAGGGTTAGCAATGTTATCCACATGAAATTTGATAACTTAAAATTAAGGCATGGGAATAAAATTGTGAAAGTTGCAATTGAGTTAATTTTGGACTTGTTTTATTTTTTTTAAAGACATCAATGTGTGATATCTACTGCAATTTTTTCCTGAAAAAGTTAACTGAAATGGTTTCTAATCTGGGATGCACTGCAGAGAGGAGGTTAAGGAAAAAAAAAAAAGGAACACTCAAATCAGGAATCAGAAGGAGGATATGCTTGAGAAATTGGTCTGAGAATAGAAATTGGTAGTAAGATAGTGTCATGGCAATTTTCTTCAGTCTGTAAATTTGGCAACAATGCAGGCTTTTAAAAATCATTTTATTCATACAGCAGCTACACTTCTTTTCCTTTTTACCAGCTTTAGTATCGCTAATCACCAGCAGTTTAGATGCTTGTATTAAACATGAATGAATATAGTTAACTTGGAGAAGGACTGAAATATTTATTACTGTTTATCTAATCAAAACACATCTAGAGAAAAGATAAATGTGATCAAAATTGTTATGTGAATACCACAGAATACTGAGATAAGCTCAGAAGATAAGCTCAGAAGTGCTGATCTTTACATCCTATTTACTGCCTTCCTGAGACCAGATCTCAGGCAAAAACACAGTGCACAACCTACTATGATGCTGGGTATCTGACTTAACCAGAGTGGAAGCTTATTAGCAGGACTACAATAAATCTTATCGTTCATGTTTGTTAATTACTCCTGTCAGAGCTCCTCCTCCTCCAGCTCTACTTCCAAATCACTGGGTTTGTACCTACACAAGTTACTGCACACATCCCTTCTGAGTATGGCTACAGTCTAGCTGTCTATACTTTCTGATCTTGAAATTAAAAGTTCAGCTGTAAAGTCTGGGTGGACCACTAAGTCTGACAGTACAGCTATACAGTCTCCAGATGTAACATGGTGCTTTCAGTATTATAGATAAGCTTAGACTTCCTTGAAACCAAGATTTCAAGAGAACAACTTCATTCTTTCTCTTCTCTCATGTTCACATAGCACAACTGATTTACAGCAGAAAGGGCAAGCTGCCAGTTCTATTTATCTTTCTCAGTACAATGTGGGGACCCATCAATACATACAAGTTCGATCTGACACAGTCACAGCCATAGCTGTCACAGTCACTTGTTCTTGATGTCATGTTTACAGATAAAGCAGTTGTGTAAATAGACTTCACACTAGGTGGAGTAGAAGCCTCCAGTATTGCTGAATAACTGAAATTTTGTTACACTTTTCTCATCTGGAGAGCTCTGTATACCTAAGTACGTAGGTGAACTTAGATACAAATTGCAGAAAACAAGACTGCACTTTGTAACAGTATTTCCTCAGGTAGTAAAATCTGACTGCCCTTCAAAACCTTTTATTTATGGACAGCAGTGACAGTACTAAACTATTTAGGCCAGACAACAGTGATAATCAGAATCATCAAGCCTCTGTGAATTCAAACATGCAGAAACAGCCTGGTACAATTCCCTGCCTTGGGACTATTTGAAACCAGCAAGTAATCTGCAAGTATTGAAAGTCATCACTTGAATAGCGCTTGCCAAATTCTTCTACTAGACTGTATTTATTGCTTTTAGCATAACTCCATTCTCATCTCCAAAAGCAAGGTATTTGTCACTTAAGAGTTCCACATATTTATAGTACAATAAAAAAATGCTGTTCATTCCCCACAGTAGTTAGAATCTGTATTTTCAAGCCACAGCATCTGGTTCTCTGAGGACTGCCCAGTCTCTAACATATGTCCAATAATCAATAGCAACTGGATTATATTTTTTAATCAACACACTAACTAACTATAGCCTAACCAATGGCAAATACTACAAGCAAAAGCCACCTAAAAATTAAACCAATGCAGTGACACAGGTAGAGAAACCTTCACAGAATGGTTTGGGTTGGAAGGGGACCTTTAGGATCATCTAGTTCCAACCTCCCTCCTGTGGGAAGGAACACCTTCAACTAGACCAGGTTGCACAGACCCTTGAACATTCCTTTAAATTCAAGCATTAATTTTTTTAAATTTATAGTATTAATTTTTTTAAAAGCAGTTTTGAAGAGAATTAAATAACATAATGGAAATATGAATGTACCGAAGTAGGAAAAAAGTATTCCAGTTATGATCAAAGCTTTCCAAATTTGCATTATTTTGCCAAAATGAATTTTGAAATGAAAATGTAAGTAAGGCAAATACACTGACTGTAATTCTTAACAACGGAAGTACTTGCTATTCTTTGGTCAAGTCTGCTTGATAAATGATACTGTGCATGTTTTACCCCACCAAGCACATCCCTTCTCACCTGTGCTATTCTGCAGTTTGCAGGAAAGAGACAGAGGAAGAGGAAATCATAGCAAGTCCTGCTTCTTAGTAT